GGCCTCCATGGACACAAATATACCTTTACAAGAAACTCGAGCCTCACCATTTTGCTCGCTATAACAACAGCATATGTCTCATTTAGTGATCAGTGGAAAAAGTAGGTGGAATTTTATCATGAAAAGCCATTTGGGAATGCCTGACAGCTGTGCAGGAAAAAGCTTCACAAATCTTTGTGAGAAGACTGTCCCAGAGGAAGAGCAATTCTGTTTGGAATTTTTCTTTGTGCCATTTGTTTCAAATACATATTATCTGTAGTGTAACCACTGATATATGAAGAATGAGGCAGCACTAAAATTAATTATTTCACACTTAATGAGTTCTTTCCTAACGAAATAATTAGCCTCACAGAACAAAGAAATCTTCTTTGGCTGCAAACCCATGGGTCACAGAGGCCAGATACTAAAAGACCACAAGACTCTTCAAATGCTTAATGTTACACTTGTATGTACCAAGGTAATAAGGTAATGACAGTATGGTAATAAGGAAACTCTAAGAGGTGCATTAACTTGCAAAAGCCATTGTGTAACAAATGAGATCTATGTAGTAGACTAAAAGGTGTCTAAAGAGAGTTAATGTGCCTCTTGAGGAATCCAATCTCAGAAAGTATTAACAACATGGACAATAAGATAATCTAACAGCTATGACAGCTATGACACTAACAGCTATGACAGTCTCCCAGTCAGATGTCCTCCCTAATTCCATATACAAGCAAAACAATACTGTATCAGGGTAAGTCACATCAAAACAGAGAGACAAACTCAGTATATGGCTACTATTCTCTTATATCACTTTGTTATCTAAGAATTAACAGAATTTTCTGTTCTAGATGAAGGTAACAGTCTTTCTAAAATAGGTCATATAAAAGAAACTAAGTAATAGTGACAATTCAGAGACAAGCCCTTGACATTTTAAACTTTGATAAAGGAACAGGATTAGACTACCCTCTAGTGGAAGTTAAAGAGAATTCAGTAAATACTTTCAAACATTTTGCCAGTTTTACAATAAAATAAATGCACACTGTGGTTTTTTCACAGGATAAGAAAGTGTACAGATTTGGATGAAAATATCTCATTGTATACTTACACACTGTCTTTCAATGTACAGAATACTAATCTCACCACATTTAATGCTGTGGTTTTGCATTCTAAACTGTTTTGCTGCACAAGCTGAATTGCATAACACCCATTCAATCCCCTCTGTCACAGAATAACAGTTTTGCAAATTTGCAAAGGCGAGAGAAACTCCCACTAGAATGTCAGTATCTTAATGGCAGGTACCCAGCCCTGTTCACTGCCATACACCCAGAGCCCATAAACAGTGTGTAGCACACAGCAGATGCCCAGACACATGGCAGGCACTGTACTAAGTGGTTACATTTGTCATCTCATTTAATCCTCCAAATACCTATGTGGCAGGCACTCTTTCTCATTTTGCAGATGAGGAAACAAAAGCTTGGAGCAGTTAAGAAACCTGCATGAGTCTCATAGTTAGAAAGTCATAGAGGCCGGGCGCGGTGGCTCACGCCTGTAATCCTAGCTCTCTGGGAGGCCGAGGCGGGCGGATTGCTCAAGGTCAGGAGTTCAAAACCAGCCTGAGCAAGAGCGAGACCCCGTCTCTACTATAAATAGAAAGAAACTAATTGGCCAACTGATATGTATATAAAAAATTAGCCGGGCATGGTGGCGCATGCCTGTAGTCCCAGCTACTCGGGAGGCTGAGGCAGAAGGATCGCTCGAGCCCAGGAGTTTGAGGTTGCTGTGAGCTAGGTGATGCCACGGCACTCTAGCCTGGGCAACAGAGCAAGACTCTGTCTCAAAAAAAAAAAAAAAAAAAAAAAAGAAAGTCATAGAATTGGGATCCAAACCCAGATCTGAGGTTTGGATCTGAGGGATCCAAACCCTTTTCAGTTCCTAGCATACCATTATCGTTTCTTTTTAAAATGTCAAACCTTACCAGTAAGTACCAATTAAACAGGCTTTTGTAAGCTGGATACAAACCAATATAAATGGATTATCTGCTGTTCTCAACAATTCCTGAGGCACTAGGTAACCTGGAGTCATATTTATGTAGCCATGGGATAACACAGCTAAAGGCATTATCAAAAGTCCAAATTGCTTGCATAATATAAATCCTTTACTATTTAATAAAGGTAGACCCTCTAAAGCTGTGGTCCCCAACCCCCAGGCCATGGATCGGTACTGTCTATGGCCTTCTAGGACCAGGGCCACACAGCGGCAGGCGAGTGAGCGAAGTTTCATCTGTATTTACAGCCGCTCCCCATTGCTCACCATCTGCTCCCCCCTCCCCCCCATGGAAAAATTGTCTTCCATGAAACCAGTCCCTTGTGCCAAAAAGGTTGGAGACTGCTGCTCTACAAAGCAAGGCAAGACCAAAAGAATTAAGTAGCCTGGAAAATGGAAGGACTGACCGGATATGGCATCAGATCTGACAGTGAAAGGGTAAAAAGTTCAAAGAAGTTAGGGGAATCCCTATAGGCCAGCTAGTATTTTCTTCTAAGTTGTTTTTATTTTTTATTACTTGACTATTTAAGCCTTATAATATTATTTCAGGGTATTTAGGTGATGATAGGAGATAGTTTGAGGCTATATAAATCTATTAGTATGAAAGTGAACATGTAAAACACCAAATGCTTCCAGTATCTAAGAATGATACGTAAATGCATCAAAATAAATCCATAAAGTATACTCATGACACAGATATATGTTTATACAACCTAATCCACAAAATTTAGATCCAAGGTGTTTTCCTATTATAAAGAATAAGAATGGCAGCTTTGATTTCATGCAGCTTAAGTGGCTTAGCTAAAAGTCTCATGATTTCAAAACATCTCTCTATGAGCTTATTATAGGCCAACAAATACTAAGCCTCCAGAATTCCAAGTTTTGATGTGCTATCTTCCACAGTTAGTCATTCATTACTAAAAAATAAGTATACATTTCAGGGAAAGAACACCAACAGATTAAAACCCAAAAGTAGCATGTACTTCAGATGCTTATAGATAATTCAGATTGGTTTTATAAAAAAACCATTTATGTTTTAAACATATCTTCTAAGCAAACTGAATTAACTCTCTAAAAGGGCACAATATAGCTTAGAGACACAGACTAGGGAAAACTGTGACTCAAATTTATTTAGAAGTGACTATTTCCCCAGAATAGCATTTCAGAAAATCTTTTAGCTTTAATTTGCCTTTAGTGATAGATGTTCTCAGATTAGTAAAGAGACAGGATTCAAATGAGCATTTGCTCATTCAAATGAGCAATCCATTCATTTAAGAAGTCAAAATGCAGTTTCTGAAAAGGTCATGCATCACTAAATATCAAACATTTTTCAGGATATTAGAATCCTAATTGAAAATGAAAATATGCTATATTCTAAGAAGACTTATATAGACCTCATTTCCAAAGCAGAATTAACTATGAAAATTATTAGAATTATGGTAAAATGCATTTAATCAATAGAGTAGTATTAACAAAAACTATTGATAAAAAGGTTTACTTTCAGCTGGAAAAAAAGACACAGTGATTATTGTAGGAGAATGTCTCTGCAAAGAAATATACAACCAATGAAAAGCAAGTAAGTCAAAGTGATACAGTTACATAAGCTAAAAGAAAGTGGTTAAAAATAAAATTCCAAATATCTTGAAGGCTACTTCCATCAGTTAGTTATCCAAGGCTTGGGAAGGATCATTACTATACCTTCAAGAGGGAAATAACGCAGAGGACAACCACAGATATTTTACATTTCTCTTTTCCATGATGTCCTGCCTTCAGAAGGAACAAAACACCAACCTGGAAAAGCACTCTAAAACCAGGAGGCTTGAAGAATACAATTCATGAAGACCTACTGACAGCTGCCATCCTACCCTCATCCAATTTAGGATATCACCAATGTAGCCAGGAGCCTGGATCCATATATTAACTGTATGATACTGAGCAAGTCACAACATATAAGACTTGATCAGCGTATGAGCTCAAGAAGTTTATCTCCTGTATAGATAGCTACTACCTCCTACTTCACTAAAATCTCAGCTTGATTAGAAAATAAACCATAGGCACGGTGGTTCACATCTATAATCCTAGCACTCTGTGAGGCCAAGGTGGGTATATAGTTTGAGCTCAGGAGTTCGAGACCAGCCTGTGCAAGAGTGAGGCCCTGTCTCTACCAAAAATAGAAAAAATTAGCCGGGCACAGTGGCGTATGCCTGTAGTCCCAGCTACTCGGGAGGCTGAAGCAGAAAGATTGCTTGAGCCCAGGAGTTTGAGGTTGCTGTGAGCTAGGCTGACGCCTGGGCACTGTAGCCTGGGCAACAGAGTGAGACTCTGTCTCAAAACAAAAGAAAATAGTAAGCCATAATATCATCTTCAGATATGATATTGTCAACATAAAAGATAATTTTCTGAACATAAACCCAAGAAAAAAAGAATACCAACATAATCCATCTAAATGAAAACAACAACAAAAAATAAACTTTCACAAAGTATAAATTTAGCCAAATTCCCTCCTCTAACAGGATTTATTTGATCTGTCATCAGTCTGAGGATAAAAAATCATGCTACAAAACATAAAGCTCTTGCAGACCTAAATTTTAAAAGCGACAATTTCTAGAGTACATCCTATGGTCAGGGCAAAGTCACCTAATCCCTTTTATTTTCTATGTTTATATTTTTAAACAAAAGAGACCCAAGAGACCTAATGTCACAAAGACAGCCCCAAGTCACTTTAAAAATCAACAAAATCATGTTTCCTGATCTAAACTGAGGCATAAACAGAGGTATATTTTAAAAATAATTTCTACACTTCAAATCATTTTCTATCTAACGCTCACTTAATGAGAATATGAAATTAACTAGAACTCATGATTGTCAAAAAAAATCCTGTTAACAAAGAATTTAATGTATTCTTAAAAGCTATGAAATTACGCCATCCTGTCCAAATAGTTTTCATTCCTGAAAGATGCAAACATCAGACTTACTCAGACTTGCTGTCATGGATTCTAAGTCTGCCATTAAAGCTGGGAGCTGCTGCAGCTGCTCCTGCAGCTCTATGAGGCTCGTCCTCTTCTTCTCCCAGTGTGCCGAAAGCATGACCACCTCACTGTCCACCAGCTGCAACACACAAGGGGGTGAAGTGGAACCAAGTTGTAGGCACAAAGAAGGTACAGTTAGCATAATGACATTTAATGTTATCTTTAACAACCCCTCCACTGAGTAAAGATGACAGTACATTCTAAAGGAGACTGAAGTTGTTTTTCTTTTTAAAAAAGAATCGACTTAATATTCAGTGCAAGAAACCTCAAATTACTGCTTGTATCAGTGTTTCTTAGCCCACAGAAGAGAATGTTCAAAAATGACCTTAGAAATCACTGCTAAGTATACCCTTTTTTTTAAGTAAACCATATATTTGAAAATCCAAATCTATTATGGAAAAAAAATAAAACAAAAAACTACCACTAACAACCAAAAAGAAAACAAACAAAAACAAACCCAAAACATAATTAACTGGTAACTATTTACTTTACAAAAGGAATTCTTTAAACAGAAAAGTTCCCTAATTCATTTAGAATATGCCATGATTCATTCAATTTACATTTAGGAACATTTATTGCATTAAGTAAGGTAAATCATAATTGTATATGAAGGAATTATTGAGGCAACTGATAAGTAAAAGAAGATTTCAGTAAAAGAAGAAAAGATTTAAGGTAACAAAGAAGGAATTCAGCCAATATAAAGGGCTCCTAATAGCAAGGTTGTGAGATTCTAGACTAGCCTAAGATAATTCTACCTTCTTTTCCTAAAGATTTTAACAAAAATGACAGACATCAGTCTCTCCCAGACAATTTTGTTTTGGTTTTAACATGATAGGAGAGGAAAAGGCCTAGAATAAGATTTAGAAGGAGCAAGGAGAGGTCATCTTTTGAAAACATCACTTTCCATAGAATTGTGAAAGAATTGTGCAAGAATTGTGAAAAATACCTATATTCTGTACAATAAAATAAAGGGAGCAAAATCTATTATATAACAGAAGAAAATGCATTTGAATTTTATAAGATCACTGAGTTCACAGTTAAATTGTTTTTTTAAAAAAAAAAGACATTTATACATCCCAAGATAAAGGTTCTTCAAGAATTGGAATCTGGGCTGGGTGTGGTGGCTCACACCTATAATCCTAGCACTCTGGGAGGCCAAGGTGGGCGGATGGTTTGAGCTCAGGAGTTTGAGACCAGCCTAAGCAAGAGCCAGACCCCCATTTCTACTAAAAAATAGAAAGAAATTAATCAGCCAGCTAAAAATATATAGAAAAAATGCCTGTAGTCCCAGCTACTTGGGAGGCTGAGGCAGAAGGATCGCTTGAGCCCAGGCGTTTGAGGTTGCTGTGAGCTAGGCTGACGCCACGGCACTCTAGCCCGGGCAACAGAAAACTATCTCAAAAATAAAAAGAATTAGAATCTGACACAACTGATTCTTACTTAATCTAACATAATAACTTCAGAGTAATCAATAAATCAAAGTAACAAATTATTTTTATGTGCTGCTAGATTGGTTTTGTTTCTACATTTTTTTTTTCGGCATATTATGGGGGTACAGATTTTAAGGTTTCAATAAATGCCCATTGGCCAGGCGCGGTGGCTCACGCCTGTAATCCTAGCACTTTGGGAGGCCGAGGCGGGCGGATCACTCAAGGTCAGGAGTTCGAAACCAGCCTGAGTGAGACCCCGTCTCTACCAAAAATAGAAAGAAATTAATTGACCAACTAAAAATATATATACAAAAAATTAGCCGGGCATGGTGGCGCATGCCTGTAGTCCCAGCTACTCGGGAGGCTGAGGCAGTAGGATCGCTTGAGCCCAGGAGATTGAGGTTGCTGTGAGCCAGGCTGACGCCACGGCACTCACTCTAGCCTGGACAACAAAGTGAGACTCTGTCTCAAAAAAAATAAATAAATAAATGCCCATTCCCCCCCCCACTACATTTTAACATAGTAGGAATTTGCGTTTGAAATAACGGAACTAAGCTATGAAACATCTCCCTATTGGGGACAACCACATTCTCTCTCACATTCAAGCCTCAACTGAGCTGGGAAGGTGACACCAAGCCTTATGAAAATTGTATTTCTCATTAATTTTGTATATTTAAAAATGAATACTACCAATTGGTCTTTATAAGGTCTCTAAAAATAGCTGGGCCCTCGGGGCTCATGCCTGTAACCCCAGCAATTGGGGAGGCTGAGGCAGGGTAGGTTGAGGACAGGAGTCTGAGACCAGTGTGGGCAACACAGACAGATCCCATTTCTACAAAAAATTTGAAAAATTAGCCGGATGTGGTAGTGCATGCCTATAGTCCCAGCTACTCAGGAGGCTGAGCCAGGTGGATCACTTGAGCCCAGGATTTCAAGGCTACAGTGAGCTATGATCACACCACTACACTCCAGAGCATGACCCTCTCTCTCTCTCTCTCTCTCTCACACACACACACACACACACACACACACAAACACTAAAAATGCCTTAAAAATACTTAATAGTACTAACAGATAATACAGTAGCTGTAATAAGGAAACCGAAGTTTTAAATAAGGATTTGTGTTCATAAAATTCATTTATAATATTCAATAAACCTGTACTGACTACCCACTATTTGCTAAGCACTGTTTTGGGCACTGAGGATGTAATGGTGAACAAAGCAGAAAAGAAAATCTTGCCCTGCTGGTGTTTGTGTTTATAAGTTGGTGGCATGTCTCACAAATTCTCTTAGCTTCAGATTTTAAACTCTAAAAAGAAAAAATAATTCCTACATTACAGAGCTGTCTTGGTTAATAATTTTAAAAATCTAGAATAAATAATTTTTAAGACGGGGTCTTGCTTTTACTCAGGCTGGTCTTGAACTCCTGAGCTCAAGCATTCCTTCCCTCCTCGGCCTCCCAGAGTGTTAGGATTATAGGTGTGAGCCACCATCTTACTGAAAATTAAAGTACATGTATTGAAATAAATTTAGTTAAAATTTAGTAAAGTTTAACTACAGCTTAGTTCATACCTCAATAAAATTGAAAATTGTATTCTGAATACAGAATATATGTAGAAAGAATTTATCAGAAAGCACTAAACTATCATTTTTATTTAAAAGAATGAGAGGTTGAATGTATCTTCAGAAATCATTATCAATAATTATACATGGATATGAAAACATTTTGAGCATTTTCTATGTGCCAGGCCCTGTGCTAAGCAATTCACATATATTAGCTCACTTAATCCACGCAGGAACCTGGAAACTAAGCAATATTATCATCTCCATTTTACACATTAAAAAGCTGAGGTGGCCAGGCGCAGTGGCTCAAGCCTTTAATCCTAGCACTCTGTGAGGCTGAGGTGGGAGAACCCGGCTCTACTAAAAATAGAAAAAATTACTGGGTGACATGGAGTACACCTGTAGTCCCAGCTACGCAGGAGGTTGAGGCAGGAGGATCACTTGGGCCCAGGAGTTTGAGGTTGCTGTGAGCTAGGCTGACTCTAGCCTGGGAGAGAGAGCAAGACTTTGCCTCAAAAAAAAAAAAGGCTGAGGCATAATTAAGCTAAGTCACTAAGCCACTTCCCCAAGGACCACAGTGGATCTAGATTCAAACACAGGGAATTTGACAATGAGCTCTGCCCTTAATAATCATACAAGGGATTGCACTCTAGGGGTATATCAAAGGAAAAAGAAAAGACAAAATCTAGCAAAAGGGTTCTGAAAAACTATACTGTTATCTATTCATTTATCATGTATAATTTTTTACTTCATGATAAAAAAATAAGCTATCATCAGAAGTCCATTTTTTTCCACTTCTAAGTAAATAACCAAATAAACCCAGATTCAGCACTAGGAAATCAAGTTTAAGGAGTATGACAAACCCACAGTGCTTCATTCCAAAATTCCTTCTGGTGGGCACCGAAGACTAGGAGAATGAAGAAAAATCAGGTAACAGCAATGATTTACAATATGGGGTTTTGAGAGATACATCATTAATTTGATTTCCAAACAATTTTATTTGATAAGCAGAATATGTGGTATTACACCATTTTATAGGTAAAGAAACTAAGACAGAAAGACTGTTATTTGCCCAAAGTCAAAACATATTAGCAGCAAGGAGTAGAAATCAGGATTTCCAACATCTAGTTCAATTCACTCTCCACCACTCAAAGGAAATCCATCCTGAACGCAAAGAGAACGAAACACTCTAATTCAACTGGGATAACATTAAACTGCTCAAGAAAACCATGAAATCTTGAAAGTTCAATTTGAAGGCAAGCTAATATTTCACAATAACAGGAATTAGAAGAAAAACACTGGAAGTCTAACTTTAGAAAACTGCCCCTGGAGTCTAACCCCTAAGTCACGAGATATTAACTATTCACAGTATTCATTTACACATTATTAAGAGAGAAAAAAATTTTTAACAAATTACTTAGAAAAAGCCTACACAATAAAGTTACCATTGACCCTGTTTGTTTTATAAGATATTGCTCTGAATTCTAAGACTACACAGTAAGAACTAGCTTGAAAGTAGATGAATATAAAATAATTTGTTAACCAGATCCTGTCCCTAAGAATATTTGCCCTGAGAGGTTGATGTTGTTTGGTTAAAAGTCACCAAAGACACATGAGCAGGTCTGAAAAAATAAGCACATAATACTCTAACACTAGGCTTAAATATTTACATTTGACTCAACAATATATTACAGAAAGTTTTAAAATAATTTTTCATTTATTTTTTTAATAAATGGATACTGTTAATATATTTCTGGAAAGCAACAGAGGTACTTTTGATCAGATGTGAGTTTTAAAACAACCAAGTATGACCAGGCCAGGCGCCTCATTCCTGTAATCCTAGCACTTTAGGAGACCAAGGTAGGGGCATTGCTTGAGGCCAGGGGTTCAAGACCAGCCTGAGCAAGAGTGAGGCTCCAACTCTACAAAAAGTAGAAAAATTAGTGGGGCATGGTGGTGCACACCTGTAGTCCCTGCTACTCAGGAGGCACCACTGCCCAGGTGACAGAGTGAGATCCTGTCTCAAAATATATAAATAAATTAAATGAAATTAAAAATGAATAATACCATTTATTCATATAAGCT